GGGGGGGGGGGCGACATTGCAGTTCAACGGAGCCTGGCGCGGCACCTGTACCTAAACCCGAGCCATCGCCCCCCATTCTTCCCTTCTCGGCCTGGTCCGCCGTCAATTGGTCGGAATCTTGCCTGGGGCCGTCTAGGAGCGCCCAAGGCCGCCGTCGCCGTGCCGCGGGGCCCCGCGAGGGGCGGGCCGCGCGCCGCGCGCATCACAAGCAGAGACCGCGGACCAAGCCGGGCCGCCCTCTTCCATCCGAACCCCTGGCTGCCCCCCCCCCCCAGGGAGTGTCTCAAATGAGCCGCTTGGAATAAGAGACTACTGTTAGTCTTCCTGAAATTCACCATGCGCTTGCACACGCGGGCAACCATCGTGACATCACTCCGACTGTCAGTTGTTGCGAGTTGGTCTTACAACCACCCCCAAAACCCTTAGGTCACATGCGGCCTCACGGTAGTCAAGTCAAGCCGCTTCCATCAGCAGGGTGGTCCCCCGCACCCCTAGTAGAACACCGCTTATGTCGCGCGATATAGGCGCCGAAAAGGCGCTGCTGGTGTTCTACTGCACATAGTCCTTCGAGGTCTCGACCCATCCCACAGGAATCGCCGCCGCTGAGAGGTGGGCTGTGCAGACCCCCTCACCCCGCAGGTTACGCCCGTCATCGATTGTGTGGGGGCCCCGAGTGCGTAAACAGCCCGACCGACAGCCTAACGTAATCTCGGGAGCCAAGCCAGATCAATAGTCGCCACACACAGTCTGGCCCGGGACGGCGACAGGGCGCAGGACGTGTGTCCCATGAGTCACGGGCTCCAAGTACAAGTACAGTACCCTTTCGCCAACGATAAGGGGCACGGGAGCACGAGATAAGGACGGGCAGATCGGATGCTGGGCCGAGCTGGTCCAGGCATGAGTCACGCACATACTGGTGGATGGATAGTGGTGTTGGGGGGGGGGGGGGGGGGGGAGAACGCGAAGGATTCGCGAGACGGGCGTCCGTCCCGTCCGGAAGGCGATTAGAGCTGTGCAGACTGACAGGATGATGCGGTGGAAAGAGGGGGGGGGGGGACTGCAGGACACTCCAGGCCAACCACCAAATTGATTTTATCGTGTCCTTGATGGGGTCGTGCCAGGTCAGCGCGGCGCGTCGCGACCGCCTGCCACACTACGGCAAGCCAACATAGCGCGGTCCACTAGCAGGACGTCTCGGTTACATCCTCGAAAAGGGCTGTGCTAGGCCGGGTTTAAAAATAGCGCAATTGGTAAATAGCTTGGGCTCCTGGCTAGGGCTTCGCGTGAACAAGCGGCGGCGGCGCTGGCGCCGCCACAGGCCGGCGCTTAGATTGACAGGAAACGCCCCCCCCCCTCTCCCGCTTTCCCCAATACTTGCTCAGCTATTACCCGAGGCAAATGTAGTTCTGTATCAACGCAGAGTAAGTACTACAGCAGCAGGTCGGACCGGCTTATAGGTGTCAGCATTCTCCCGCGCCCGTCCCGCCTGACATGGCAGTATACAACACAACTAGGGCCCAAACGCCCGCGCCGGGGCGGGGCGGCACCGCGCGAGAGGATGGGCCGGCGCCAGGGCCGGGGTAAAAATATGACGCCAGTGCGAATGCGCTGCAGCGCGGCTGCAGGCCTCTCCCCTCGGCACAGTACAGCAGGCGAGAGACGGACGAGGAGAACTCACCTTGGGACTCATGACGGCCTGGAGCAGGATCTGCGCTGCGGTGGCTGGAATGTGGAGATGGTCTCGGCTGTGCCTGTGGACGTGACAACGCCCCGCTGACTGGACTGAAGCTCCGCTCAGGTTCCGCTGCCGCTCGCCTCGCCGCTCGCCGCCGCTGTGGCTGCACTGCTGCCGCGGTGAAGGGAAGAGGAGAGAGGAGGGG